GTTAAATTTTTTTTAAAAAATTGATGAAGGATTTTAAGGGCCCCCCCCCCCCCCCCTATAAGATAATGAATTTAACTACAATTCCCACTCAAGATATTGCGTTTGTGGGAATTATTCGATCAATGCTTTTTTTTCTTTTTTGATGTAACATTTGTGTAGACATTTGTGTAGACATTTGTGTTGACATTTGTGTAGACATTTGTGTAGACATTTGTGTAGACATCCTCTATGTGTCAGCCTAGATAGGATAGTACCAAGTTTTAAATTTTGTTGATGTCTGAGATTGTAACTAATTATTTTCCCCATTTTTTATTGTTACAACCAAACTAATTCGACCCCCGAGGGGATATTTAAAGCTTAAAGATGTAAACATCAGGATCATATATTTCAGTTCCTATAATCTCATTAAAGCAGGTGTTTGGGATTTTCAAGTAATCGACTTAAGCCTGGGAAAGCAAAGAAGCTGATTTATTCCAATACCTGAAACAATAATAATAATAATAATAATAAAGTTCATTTCAAAAACACGCTTCATCCCCAAAGGCTCGAAGCGCGGTACAAAGTCAACAAAATACAAATCTATAATTTACCACTTTTAAAACAAACGCAACACTACAAAAACTAATTACTAGCATACAATGGCAAAGTCTTTCTAGCCATTTCAACCCCAAGCAACACAGCCATCATGCATTAACTGGAAAATAAGGTTGACAATCATCCCAGATGGTGTTTGCGAAATAGGTGTGTCTTTAAATTGGTTTTAAAGGACTCCAGTGTCTGGTTGTTTCTGAGATCGACAGGAAGGGCGTTCCAAATTGTTGGACCAGCAAATGCGAAAGTGCGCTTTCCGTAAGTCTCAAGGCAAACACGTGGTGTCGAGAGTTTGCCACCATCGGATGAGCGGAGCTCTCTAGTGGGCACATAAGGCGTCAGCAGCTCTTTCAATGACCTGTAGCTGATTAACCTTTTTATTTCCAGTAACGTCAAGAGGAAACTTTTCATCCATGTCATTTAATAATGGTAGAATAGACGCTTGTACTTCTTTCTTCGCCTGTTGCTACCATAAAATTACAATCTTTCATGTATGAATTTTTTTTCATTCGTTTTCCAATTACCAAACATAGATGTTAATGACAAAACTTAATTTGGTGACCCCTAATTATGATTCAATTTCACTGCAAATTTGAATTAAAAATAATGAATGGCAATTTTTAAAACAAATTAATTGAAAGTTACGTAACATTTAGATCATACAATTGGTTTCCAGTAATGATACCGTAAAGAGAGATAGGATTCAATTTTTTTTTTCCACTTTAAGCGAAATTAATTGCTAAAGATATTTAATTATAAAATAAAAGACATTAGAATAGATATTCATTACAAAGTTTTAAATAGTACTAAAAGATATTCATTATACAGTGCCATTTGCTTGATATTTTAACTAAATGTGACATGCTTTTTCATAATTTTTTTCTGATTTTCTAAGCTCGGATTCTTGAGAATACTCAGCCACAATGATAACTAGGACGGATTCCCAAAATAGATAATCTCGCCTAGTCTGTTGGGCAATTATTTTCATGGGTTCGAGACTAAAAAAATTTTTCTGAATGATTTGTATAGTTCCCATATCATACTAAGATCTAGAAGCATTAGTGACCTAGTATTTCTGTTATTATTTGGTTTTGCTACCTCTAGATAATATGTGTGCTGAGAAGGAAGAATCACAACTTTGAGACCCAAATAGCAATATGTTCGAATATGGGTTGATACTTGATAAATTTATGAGGATTGCAATGTATCAAATCAATGATTTTTTACACAAATAACAATTAATTGCATTCAATACTTGATAAATGGTAATTGTAACTTTTATAAGCTTCTTAAATTCACGAAAAAGTTAGTTTTTATCTAAATTTATTACTGTCATCGGATAATTACAAGGTAGGTTATCAGTGGCACATATTGGCTCTGAAGAAAAGTCTCTAGAGAAAGATAGTCACCTTAGAGATCATTTTTTTTAGGTGAGCTGCTGAAAAAAAAATAAAGGGACCTCATGCGGAACCAAGAAATAAACAAATGGTTGTTGACATCTCAATCAACCAATATGTGCTTCAACAACAATTTGATTGGTTTGAGACATGGTCAGAGTTCCTGTCAACAATCATTCAATTCAAGCGTACAATTGCAGAAAATGAATGCAACGGCAGGCACTTAGTAAAATGGCAGGCAACAAGTACAATGACTGTCACTCAGTACAATATCAGGCACTCAGTACAGTGACCGTCACTCCAGTTTTAGAAACAGTAAATGACTCCAGATGGACAACAAATGCAATGTTCATAAAATCTCGAAAGGGAAAGAAAAGTGCACTGCGATTGAGCGTCACGAGAGAGGGTGGGGGAGGGATAAAAGGCTTAACAGGTGAATGAGAACATAACACTTTGTCATGTGGGTAAAGGTTCCATAAATCAGCATCAACGTGTTTCCGAATTCACGCTGCTTGCTATGATAATGTAGGTCCCAATGGCACAAAAATAAAAAATCCGCACACACCCCCCCCCCCCCCCCCTGAGTTCGCTTCTATCGAAGTGTTTAGGGACGGGACAATGCTTGTCTGGTGTAATATTACGGAAAAGTATAGGACATCTGTCGGCGTCCTCGCTCACCTACAGCCTCTCCCACTTACTACCTATCTTATGACACCCATTTTTATTATATAGTAGATAGGACTAAATATCTAAAAACTAATAAAAACGCAATTTTTAATAAAACAAAATGTAAGACAAAATATTAGATTAAATATTAATGATTGAGCTTGGATTCCATCTGTTATTTTCCATAATTAAAGCTGTCATGATTGATTTGCTTGCTGTCTGTGGAATAAGGACATGTATATATATATATATATATATTGTCAAACAACTTTTATGGTATCATTGTCTAGATTTCCTAATATTTAAATAACTCGACTTTGATTTTTCATTATTCCCACGAATTTAAGAAAACATGTAATTTACACCCAAAAAAAACCTAAATATTATTCTTTTTTTTTTTCTTTGAGATTCATAAAATATCCTCCTCACTTTAAGAAAAAAATAACCAGTATAGAAACTCTAAATGTTGTGAAGCGTGCGAAAATCGGTAGAAATAAAAACAGTACGTGAATAAAACAGTTCAGCTTCACAATGAAATACGCGTAGTGTTCAACTAGTTGTCTTCATTGAATTAATTACCGTAATCTGAATTTGATAATTCCATTTTCCTTTTCAAAATGGTCAGCGTATTCGAACGTGTCATGGTCATCTACCATGATCACCTGACTGTTGTTCACATCAAAGATCATGTCGTACTGTCCAGGATCATGCTGTCCATGGCCATTGAGAATGGAGGATTTTACCTGGGAAATTATGTATTAATCAGACATTTAAGTAAGAATGTCATGTTTTAAATCTTCACATATGATTAAAAAACATAAAAAAAATATTTAACTATGAATAAAAAGAATTAGAGACAGAACTGAGAAATAAATGTGAGTTTTAAGTGTATGTATTTCGTCATAAACTCAGTCGACGTCTGCGCTCAGAGTTGTCATGTTCTCGAATAAACTATTATCGATATTAAACTTTCCAATCGAAGGGAATTGCTTGAATCTTTTTGGGTTGTTTCGTTTTTTTTTTTTTTTGTTTTTTTTTTACTTTGGTTTCAACGTGAGAACTGTTTATGGCCTAATCACATCAGACACAGTTTTACTTACATCCGACCCCGTTATACTTACATCAGACTCATTTTTAGTTACAGCAGACATAATTTTACTGACATCAGTCACAGTTTTACTTACATGGGACATAGTTTTACTTAGATCTGTCACAATTTTACTTACATCTGACACAGTTTTACTTACATCTTACACAGTTTTACTTATACCATATACAGATTTACTTACATCAGCCACAGTTTTATCAGTAGAACCGTGCCCAGTAAGATCAATTGTGTGTTCAATTATTCCTAAAGTACCAGGAAGTTCTACTTTCACCTTTCTCAAACCGTCATCTGCCTCTGACTCTAGGGATTTTGAAACAAAAACGTAATACATGGATAAATAATCATGCTGTTTTATTCTAATTTCAAATAAATGTTGACTTTTAAAAATAATATCATATAGTACGCTCTAGAAAGAAATTCAGACAACCTCTAAAAAACATAGTTTTTTTTGTTTACACATTTTATAACATGTAATATAGAGCAATGGGGTATGGGGCTAGACTCAACATGCGTATAAGAAACGCAACATACAAGAATCCCAATTGGTGCCCCCTCCCATCAAGGCCTCGCAACCAAACATAATTTTTCTCACGACTTCATTAATATTCACAAATATTTCAGAAAAAACAAAAGACGTTAATACGCGCTAAATGCATTGGCGATATTTCTTTTAACGATATTTCTTTTAGCGATATCTCTTTTAGCGATATTTCTTTTAGCGATATTTCTTTTAGCGATATTTTCTTTTAGCGATATTTTCTTTTAGCGATATTTCTTTTAGCGATCTCATTGAGCGCAGTTCTCGGGAATTTTATTTGATGAAATCAGTCTCATCTTCGTTCAACTCCCCTTAAAAAATAGCAAAAAAACTTATTTTTGGTGGTTGGGGTTGGGTCTGAAAATTCAAAAGAATATCTTGTCATCGGCAACGAGACTAATACGCCAAGTCTCGGCACGATGGGATGGCGGGAAGTGGGTCAATTAGCTGTCGGAAGATTTTTGCCAGCTAGCTACCCCACGAACAAAATTAAGGTTAATTTAAAGGATTCAAAAACAGTACGAATCACCACCTTAAATTCGCCGAAGACATCTCGCCATCACCATTGGGCCGCCAGGACGTCATGCCACAGGTCATTTCACCCACGATTATGAATCAAATATTTTAATTTCAAAATAATGACTTAATTTAATACACGGGTTATTTAAGCGTGTTCAATTAACTCTCTATATTAATGCAAAGTTCGACATTTATTATTATTATTTAATGTTAATTAGTTCCGCATTGGCTCTTACGTTATTAATGGGAATGTACGTGCATTTATTTAAAGGGTATTTCTTTGCTCTTTACAATGCCCTCCTCCTCCAACCAGACGAATAGACCTGGAAACAAGCCTTCCAGGAAAAGTCAAATTATTGACCCAGTGGAGTTGGAGGGGGGGGGGAGAAGGGGCCCTTTTAGGTTTTTTTTAATATTCTTTTTTTTTTTTAAATTTTTTTAATACTACACAAGTTGAATTACAACAATTCAAATATCTTTGCATATTACAAGACAGCTATAACTAGCCCAGCTATAAAGAGAACCGCTACAACGAGTCCAGCTATAATGAGTCCATCTATAAAGAGCCCAGATACAATGATCCAAGCTATGATCCCAGCTAAAATGAGCCTAGCTATAAAGATCCCAGCTCTAACGATAGCAGCTATAATGATTCCAGCTATGTCGAGCACTCCTATAACGAGGTAAGTTCCTCATGCAATGTAGTTTGTCTAGATGCTTACCAAATTTTTTCAGCTTTGAATCCATCTGGAAAAAAAAAACGTGCAGATTTTAAAATGCATTTCTGTTTAGTTATTGCTGTTTTAAAGGTTGAAATCTTTAAACAGTGTATGTCAAAACTGCTAGAGCGGAAGCTTCCGCATCTTGAACGTCAAATTGCATATTATGTCAACGGTGCATAACTCTAGGTGCAGCAAGATAATATAAGTGAACAAGGATTATAATGTGGGCAATTTTTGTTGTAAATTTGTCTCTCCATGGTGGACAAAGTATTCGTAGTTAAGCAATATTTTCTCACATTTGATAGTAACAGTTCATGGTGACCATGTTTGAAAAAAAAAAATTGAACAGCAATGCCGGGAAAGATTTTTTTTTAAATAATAAATGGGCAGAATTTACACAGTTCTGTAAAGTTACTCTGTCAACAGAAGACAACTGTAACTTATAGTGTCAGTGAATTTGACTTTCCTCGGAGAACCAAACGTTCCTATAAAGGTCAGGATCCTCGTAAGCTATAGCGTAAAATGTCCCTAACACATAATCCTGGTTAACCTCTGAAAGCCATTATCCAGCCTGTTTCTGTACGAAAATGCATCTATGTCCTTTCAATAACCGGCGAATGAACGTGCTTCCGATCTTCTGTGTGAAGGGTGTTCCGTGCAGACTTGCTTGATGCGAATGCAGCCCCCCCCCCCCCCCCCCATTTAAAGAACAAAGGCGTGATTCTCTTTCTGGAAGAACATGCTGATCGACCAGACTTTCTCTTTCGTTGAAACAATATATTTCCTTCACCGTACAATTATCTAGCAACAGACATAATGTTACTTGTTGCTGACATGTATAAAAATGTTTGCTCCATCGAAGAGGACCATTTAAAACAGCAACTGCGAAACATGCCTTCCTGTCCGCGACCGGTCGCACGTTCCGGCTGGTTGCCACACGCGCGATGCTTTCAAGATGCGTCAGTTTCAGCACCATCAACAACATCAAAATAACAACATGCTTTACGACACATTAAAGGTCAACACGTTCAAAGATCACTAAGGGAAAATCAGAGAATACATTTTCGTAAAATTAATAATAAATAAGGTAAAATACCGAGATTAAAAAGGTAGGCTTAAATATAACTAAGGGTAATTGGGTTTAAGTCTAGTATAAAATCTAAATAAAGGTATGTTTATTTTTTTTTGGTATATATTTAGTTTAATTTAAGATTCTATAAAGTTCTATTGAATATCTAGTTTGAAAGGAAACTTCCACAAACAGGTAAGGTCAGTGGCGTAGCTAGGGTTGATGTCACCCGGTGCGGTAAACTCATGGTGTCACCCCCCCCCCCCCCCCCCCCCCGACTACCAAGATGGATTTCTTCTTGTTGGAATAAGTCACCAGTATAACAATGGCAACATTAAAACAAATTAATTGAATGAAGGTCAGGGGGTAATGTATTTAAGAACTGTAGCAACGCTAAGTTATATTTATTTTTGCAGTAAAATTACTTTATTTAAAATGTTCTTTCCTTGTCTTCAAACCAGCAAGCCTGTCAATCACTTGATCTGAACTACTTTACTGCTTTCAATTGATAGAGCAAGATCAGAAAGCCTTGACTGTCCTATGGCCCATGGTGGATCGTAAATAGATATCCTACCATTCTCTTATTAAAAATTAATCTTCTCGCTACCGAAAATCCATATTATTGTTCAGATTTTAAAAGTGCCTTTTCAGTAGCATGTTTCACCAAGTGGCAGTGCTCTCGTGCAGAAACAATCTTAATTAAGGTCCCTCGGTTTGTCACCACTTTGTCAAGAGTAACAGTAAAGCCTTTAGTCTGCAGATAATGCTGTGTAGTATTAAGTTCCTTAAGTAGCTCAGCCCAGAGTAAAGGTAGCAGATATATATGAAATCATAGACAGCATGTAAAAGACCTCATATGTTAATAGGCAGTGTTACTGACGAATTGGCGAAAAAAACATTTTTTGAGCATTTCTGTTACGATATATTTGGTTTCAAAACCTTATTTATAATTTTTTTTTAATTATTAAAAGATATTAGAAAATTGTATAAAATATTATATTTTTAACACTATAAATGGGTAAAAAAAAATGTTTGTAATGTTTATAATTTGTACAAATTCAATTTATGATATTAGACTTAGAATCGCCCGACCACATCGTATTTGGTATCAATGGAAATATTTATTTATCAGAATTTAGATAAATATGGCTTCCTGGTCACTTGAATTATGGTAAAAACGGTGTTTTTCTGACTTAATTATAGGGTCACCTCATTTCTGACTCATCAGCCTTGAACTTTTAATAATGCACGCATTCCGATTGGTTACATGTGCGGAAAATTAACGTGTGATCGGTTATCCTTTTATGAAGTTCAGTTAGACCGAACGGTGTGTGCTCTGTAAAGATTCAATTTTTCTTTAAAGTTGGTGTCACTACTGAGATGGCGTCACCTGGTGTGGTCCGAATGCCCTCCCCCCCCCCCCCCCCCCCCCCCCCCCCCCCCCCCGGTAAGGTTTATAACAAAGGAGTCGGTAAAGTTTTTCTGTGACGTACATTTTAAAAATAATATTAATATCTGCCAATAGAATGTCTTTAAAAGGTCGCGGTTGCCAACCACTGGCATACACCTTAAAACAGTGGTTCTCAACCTTCCTAGTGGCGCGACCCTTAAATACCGTTTCTCGTGTCGTGGCGACCCCCAGCCACACAATGATTTTCGTTGCTTCTTCATAGTCCGCTGCCTTAAAAGATTACAATAACAATAATTTGGGAAAATCCGTTTGTTGACAAGTAATACTGAGAATTCCGATGTATTGGCCTATTGACTTCTTTTCTTAACTTTAAATAAAAAGAACAAGGAAGAATCAATAATTTATTGTATTCATTTATGTTTATTTTGTGTTGCCGTAGACTCCGTTGATTAGCAATTAAAAAGTTCATTTGAATGTAATTTTACCTTTGTTGATGCTAATAAAATAATTCCTAATCATAGGAATAGTTAAATTATAATTAATTGTTAGCATCTCATTTAAATCAATATCATCAATACCATTATACACAGCCAACTGAAGTATCTAAAAGTTAATGACAATTCGTTAAGTTTGTATAGGCTACATGTATCATTCTATCAACTATACCTTAACTATATGATAACATCAATAACCCATCCAAAGAATAGATTATGATAATAGATCATAGGCTGACATAGGGAAGCCATAGGCCAACATAGGCATTATTAGTAGGCCTATACTATACTATACTATATTAATAGATGCGATTAACCGTGTTGGTCTTAGCATAAAAGGTATTGACTTACTTACTTAGGCCGGCCTTTGCAGCTAAGGCTAAGTAATAATGATAACAATATGAAACCAGACACTCACTGATTCCATTCATTACTGAAAATTGAATAATTTAATAACGACGCTTGATTACACTTACATAGACACAAACTGTTGCGCTCGAAATAGGATAAGTTTGATTCCTAGAACTATTTATTGCTTGTAATTTCGCGAGGATTCAAGCCATATCCAACAATGATGA